CTGGGCTGGAGCCTCAGAGCAAGCCAAAGCTGCCGCTGCCTCCCCAGCTCCCTGAGAGGCAGCCCCTGCTGGCAGCCCTGGGCCTCCACCTCCTTGACACCCCTGGGCCCAGCCCCGACTCACTACCTAGAGCAGCAGACGGTGCCCACGCTGTGTGTGTGACCGGAACCCTGAGCCACGCAGATCACCTGGCCAGCCTTGTTCATTCTCCAGATACGGACGCTCTGATCCTGGGGACAGGGAGTTGATGAGAGCGGCTGGTCCATGGGCCTACTGCGTGGCCTCCCCGCCTGGTGCCTCTGCCCCTACCTCTCAGGGTGCCTCACCTTGGCACAGCTGGCAAAGAGCCATCCCTTCCGGAACACATCCAGGGCCAGGACGATATCTGAGATGTTGTGGGGAGGTATAGGTCACACAGCAAGATGTGGGAAGGGAAGCAAGCAAGGGACCCAGGCAGGTCCCAGGGTGTCAGGTGGGCTGGCCCCACTCACCCGTGTGGCCATGGAGGATTTGGCAGGCTGACGTCTGCAGCTCAAACACTTTCAGGCAGGGGCTATTGGAGGCCACAATGACGTGGGAGTCCTCGGGGCCAAGAAACCGGACATCCAAGACCTCCTCACTGTAGCCAGCGAACTGCAGGGCGGCAGGGGGCAGGAGATAAGAGGAGGGCTGGTGCCCGCAGCCTCCAGACAGAGCAAGGGCAGGTGTGCACCTGTTTCTGCAGCCGCAGGGAACGAGCCTCATAGAGCAACAGGTTGTGGTCGGCGGTGGCGCTGAGGAGCAGGCCAGCGGTGCGGGCCAGGGTGCAGTGAGTCAGCTCCCGCCCGGGGCCCGGTGGCCGGGCCTGCGTGTACACACACTGCCTGGAAGCTGCCTCCCACACGCGCAGAGTGCCTGTGTGGGTGGGGACAGGGCTGCTGAGACTCAGGTCCACAGGCCTTCCCCAGCCCCATACCGCTGCCCGTATCCCGGCCCAACACACCTTGGTCGCCGGCTGTCAGAAAGTACAGGCCTGAGGACTTCACACCCAGCTGGGACACTGGCTCCTCTGGCAATAGCACAGCGGCCTCCACGCTCTGGAGACGAACTGGGTCACAAGCTGCTGTCATGCCCCCTCCCCACCCAACTCAACCAGCCCTGGCCTCCAGGCATCCCCACCTCAAACACAGGCACGGTCTTTGTGGCCTGGCAGCTCTGAAGGTCCCAGATGACACAGATCTTGTCACGGCCGGAGCTGGGGCAGCAACAGCAACCTCAGGTCAAGTCTTAGCCTCGGCCCCCACTTTCCAAGCCTCCCCCTCGTACCAGGGCCCACTACTGACCTAAGCATGGTGTGGCCGTCAGCGCTGAAGGCCAGTGAGGTGACAGCGCTGTAGTGGGCAGTCAGCACAGCCAGGCACGACCGGTCCTGCAGTGACCACACGCGGATGGCGGCATCCGCGGCTGAGGAGAAGAGCAGCAGGCGTGTAGGGTCCGGGTGGAAGGCCACTAGGCTGCGGGAGGATGGGACAGGATAGGTGAGCTGTGCAGCCTGGGCGGTGCCTCTGCCCTCCCCCTCCACCCCCCAACTCACTGCACGACACCGGGCGAGCCTCGGAAGTGGTGTGTCCCATACTGCCGCACGATGTCCCAGACGCGCACGGCCCCGTCACAGCCACCTGCAGGGAAGCAAGGTGAGGGAGTGGAATGCCCAAAGCCCCTGCATCTGTGCCCGATACTCACCTGTGCTGCAGGGCCCTACCTGTGGCTAGCAGCGTGGAGGTGGGGTCGAACACCATGGTGGCCACGGGGGCTGTGTGTATCGCCTTCCACAGGCGGGTAACGCTGCCCTCTCGCCAGGCCCACTGAGCCAGCAGCAATGCCCGGCTGGCTGTCACCAGCACCTGGGGGAGGACACAGGTCAGCAGAGGGGCAGCAACACCCTGCTCACAGCTTCCTGGACTCAGTCTGGGAGGAGGCGCTGGGGCAGATCCCCTCCAGGCCCCGCCCTGCGTACCTCATCGTCAGGGCTGAGGTCAAAGGCAGTGATGTTCTCCTGGTCCTCCTAGGGGAAAGAGTGGTGTGCAGAGCACGGTGTGAGTGGGCTGCCCCCTCCACTTACCCCTCACCCACCCAGGCTACCCTCACCTGCTCCAGACTCCGCAGCACGACCCCCGAGGCCACCTCCAGAATGTTGACTCTGGTGCCACAGATGCAGAAGAGGTGCTGGCCAGTCTGGTCCAGCTGGGGACAGAGGGGTCTCAGCCAGGCAACATTCGGCACCCCCCACGGTCTCTGGCTGCCCGCCCCCCTGCCCTTCCCCAGGCTGGTACCTGTGCTTTTCCGCCCTTGTAGAAAGGTTCAATTTTGCGTTCCACAGCATAGCTGGAAGGAGAGCAGGGGGCGAGTGAGCACCACCCACCCCTTCAGTCCCCAGGGCCCAGCCCTGTGTTGGGTGCTCCTCTTGAGGTGACCCCCAATGTCCCCTGCCCTTGAGTTTCTGGGCAACAGCAGAGACGGCATGGGGTGGAACCAGCAGTACTGCAGGGGGCTGTTGCTACCCCCATCACTGAGAAGTGGAGACCTGGGCTGGTGATCCCTGAGGCAACAGGGGGTGGGCCTGTGTCAGGCAGAGTCAGCCCAACAGCCCAGGGTTCTCAGGGATTCTCCAGTGAGAGCCAGGGGGATCCTTGGGGACACCCCTGCCGGCGGTGGGTGGCCAGGCCTGGGTAGCCAGCCCAGAACACATCTTCCCAGTGTCTTCATCCCAGAGGTCTGGCATACTTTTTCCCCTCGCTGGCTTCTCCCTTCATCCCCAGGCTTGCCCAGAGCCCAGGTCTCATGAGCAGCTGTCATTTCTGTGACCTCACTCCTGCCCCTCCTCCTTCCCTCTCCATCGCCTCCACCTGGTCCAGGCCATCGCAGCCTCTGGTCAGCCACTCTGGCCTCTTCACTGGGCCCCCTACCTACCTCTTCTTTTTTTTCTTTCTTTTTTTTTTGAGACAGAGTCTCCATCTGTCACCCAGGCTGGAGTACAGTGGCGCGATCTCAGCTCACTGCAAGCTCCACCTCCCGGGTTCACACCATTCTGCCTCAGCCTCCAGAACAACTGGGACTATAGGCACCTGCCACCGCGCCCGGCTAGTTTTTTGTATTTTTTAGTAGAGATGGGGGTTTCACCATGGTCTCCATCTCCTGACCTCGTGATCCACCCACTTTGGCCTCCCAAATTGCTGGGATTACAAGTGTGAGCCAAATTGCTGGGATTACAGGCGTGAGCCACTGCTTCCGGCCTCCTCTACCTACCTCTTAACCCTGCTGCCAGGTACCTTTCAGAACATAACTGAAGGTGTCACTGCCCTGCATCAGCCCCTCCCTTCTGCCCACACACCTCCCAGACCTTGCCCAGAAGAGCTTCTGCCACCCTTGCCTCTACTTTCCTTCCCTCTCATGGCCCACAGTGCACCCCATTGCTCCTGTCCCAGTCTCTGGGACGGGTTTCCTATCTTCCCTCCGTTCCTTGCAGCCTGGGCTTCTCTTCCCAGATGTCAAGGTCTGGCTCACTGCGCTTCTGGAAGCCTGACTGCCAAAACGAAAGCAGCCCCTGAGCCCCCGCACCCAGCTGACCCTCCCATGGCGGTGCTGCCAGCCTGGGACCTTCCTTTACCAGTGCTTGGCACAACCAAAGCCCCATAGCTGCCAGTGGAAACGCTAATCCCGAGGCTGCGCTGCCAGGGCAAGGGCACCAGTACTGCTATTCGACAAAGGCTTGGGGAGTGACGGGCCACAGAACTCGGGGCCTCCTGGGCTTCTGCAGACCCGCCCCTCTCCCGCTGTCTACCTGCTCCCTGGAGAAGAGAGATCGCGGGTAAAACGTCCCCAGGCCGACTGCTCAGAGGTGGTTCTTCGCCTCCCGCCGCCTCCCGGGACCAGCCCCGACCTAGGCTCAGCCCTCTCCTCCCCTCATCGGGACTTCTGGTTCTCACTCCACCCACAGCCGGCTTCTCAATGAGCCCACGCTGCTGCTCCCGGCGGCCAGGCTCCGATCGCCGTCCTCCCCGAGAGCAGTCGGGGCCGGCTCTCCCGCCTGGTATCACCGCAGCCTCCGCGACCCCACGAGCCGGCGCACACATAGCCTGTCGCCTCCACGGACCAGAATGCGTGCCCGCTCCACGCGCACCTCCGCTAGGCCGGCTGCGAACCCAGCTCCCTCCCCGCGCGGCCCCAGCGCTCCGGGCTCACTTGGCCTTGAAGCGGCCCACTCCGGCCGCGGTCTCTGCCATGTTGCCGCCGCCGCCGCTCCAGCTGAAACCGGCTAGGGCCCCGGCAGCCGCCGCCGCGTGACACAGGTTGGCACCGAACTCCTCACAGAACTCCACACTCCCGGCGCGCCGCGATGGCGTCACCGCGCGCGACCACTGTGACGTCCCCACCGACGCGGCGCGCTTGGCGCCATCTTTGCTTCGGGCAGTGGCTGCTGCATCGGGAACCGGAAGGGGGCGGAGACGTTTCCGGCCTGGAGGGAGGGCCATGAGCCCTGAGGGTGCTTCGCGGTCCAGTGAGGGTAGACCGGCGCGGGTGGCGTCGCTGGTGGCCTGGCTCTTTGATAACAGTATAAAAAGGCATTCGTGGCCGGGCGCGGTGGCTCACGCCCGTAATCTCAGCACTTTGGGAGGCCGAGATGGGTGGATCACAAGGTCAGGAGATCGAGACTATCCTGGCTAACACGCTGAAACCCCGTCACTACTAAAAACAAAAAAATTGGCCAGGCGTAGTGGCGGGCACCTGTAGTCCCAGCTACTCGGGAGGCTGAGGCAGGAGAATGGCGTGAACCCGGGAGGCGGAGCTTGCAGTGAGCCGAGATCGCGCCACTACACTCCAGCCTGGGCGACAGACCGAGACTCTGTCTCAAAAAAAAAAAAAAAAAAGAAAAGATGAAAGAGAGCAGGCAAATGCCTGGAGAGGGCGGTAGGGATGCACCGGTGACAGCTGTGAGGGCCGCAGGCACAGAGGCAGGCAGGCCTGGGCTCCGCTTTTATTGACCTATTTACAAGGTACGTTGGCCCTGGGCTCCCCCACCACCTCAGCCCCAGCGTTGCCTTCTGGGGCGACCTTGGCCTCCTCCTGTGAGGTGCCCTCCAGCAGAGCGGTGTCCTCCTCCAAGAAGTTGCTGAGCTCCGCCAGCTCTCGGCGAACGACGCTGGTGGCTCGGTGCAGCCAGCGCACGCGCCGCAGAAGGCACAGCAGCAGGGTCCGACTGCGCTCCTGGCGCGCGCTCCAGGCATTGTGCAGCTCCCGGTAGCAGTTGTGGCGAGCGCGCTTGGCCGGGTCCAGCGTGGCCCCGCAGCCCAGGGGGCAGCGCTGCTGGGATCCTTGCTGGCAGTGCTGCCGGTGCTCTGCCAGGGCCCCACGCGGCACGCGCGAGGTGCAGCCCTCGTTGGGGCAGGCCATTAGCTCGAAGGGGCATGAGTCCTGGTGCCCCTTGCGATGGGCCAGGGGGCACGTCACTATGCAGCCAGCGTTGGCATTCTTGCACTGAGGGTGAAGGAGAACACGTGTGAAGAAATCAGGCGGGACACCCCCAGAACCCCCACCCCTGGCTTTCCATTCACCAGGAACCAGGGAACCGGGAGCCTCCCACACTTTTCTGACTTGGGTGAGTGGGTGGAGAGAACATTGGGGCAAATGCTTGGAAATGGGAAGAAGCTAGAAGTTCCGGGGAGGGGGTGAGGCCTGAGTCTTGGGGAACTGGAAGGTACACAGTTGGGTTGGTCTGGTGAGTGGTATGGATGCCAGGCTTTCCTTTTTAACCTCAGTTTACCCATCTGTGAAACTAGGGGGCTGGAGAGTAGTGGCCAGCACACCAGGCACTAGATCCTCTGAAAATCCTCTGTAAGTCCTCTATAATCTCCATTTTACAGCTGAGACCCCCGGGGCTCGGAAAAGTTAGGTGACTTGCTTAAAGTCACACAGCAACTAAGCAGTAAAGCCACGATTCAAACTCAGCCACGTCTGGTCCTCCCAAGGCTGCACTTGTCTCTCTGAAGATAGGATTCTCCTGCCCCCTCTCCTGGCCCTGCCCCACCCCTACAACGGTGAGAAGGGTCGAGGGTCGGGGAGTGGGTACTCTGAGCTACCTTGACTTCCAGGCGGCCAATGGTTTTCCGGAGTTTATTCACGCGGACTATCTTTTTCCTTTTCACCTCTTTCCTACAGCACGGACAGGTCTTTTGTCTGGAAGGAGGCATGAGTAGGGGTGAGTGTTGGGAGTAGGAAGGGAGCCCTGGTCAAGCTCTCACTCGGTGACCCAGGTGGTCCCTTCATCAGCTGGAGGAGGCATCAGGGCATATTACAGGGCGCTCCCAGCTCTGAGGCTGGGGCCGGGGTCTGCAGATGCCACTGAGTGAGGGTATACACATTTTAGTTTAGGTAGATTTCGTGGCTGAGTCTTTTGGCTGACTTTCCCCTCTGTTCTGGGCCACAGCGATGGCCCCCAGTCTCACTCCTCCCCTCCCAGCCCCTTGGGTACCCGGTGGCACCTGGCTAGCCACTGGAAGATGCACTTTTTGCAGAAGATGTGGCTGCATGGCAACCTTGCTGGCCTCTTGAGAACCCCATGGCAGACGGAGCACACAAAGTTGCTGTCAGGAGGGCTGGCGAAGAGGTTGAGATCATACCCGCCACTCTGCAAAGGCCAGGTGTCAGGACCTGGCTGGGACAGTGATCCAGTCCCTGGTCCACATACCCAGCAACAGCCTAGCAAGCTTTGGGCGGGGAGGTGGGCCACAGAACTTCAAGCAGAGGGGCTGGCTCAGCACCCACTTTGAGGGGGCAGCTGTAGGGGTTAGGGCCCCCTACCCCAGGACTACTAATCCCTGCTTGGAGACGGGGGCCTTAGCCTAGAATCAGACCTAGCCAGAGCCTTCCAGGTTTCATTGTACCATATGGGGGCCTGCGACCCATTGCCCACCCTTTCCAAGTGCAGTGGGGTCGATCCCTGAACAACTGGGCAAGTTTTTGGAGCTGGGCACACATCTAAGGGCTGGAGGTAAGAGGACCCCAGGCTCACCATGATCTGTGTCTAGACAGCAGCTCCACAGGCCCCCAGAGCTCAGGAGCCTGCATTTCACAGTGGGTGTGGGCTGACATCACAATAGCATTGTCCAGCTCAAGCCAATCACAACCCTGGTTCAGGGCCCAGAGACCCTGTACAGCCCAGCCCTTGTTCCCTTCTGTAGAGGATCACGGGTAGCTGGGCACAGTGCTCACACCTGTAATCCCAGCAGTTTGGGAGGCTAAGGCAGGAGGATCACTTGAGCCCAGGAAACCAGCCTGGGCAACTCAGTGAGACCCCACCTCTTTTAAGTCACAGGGTTGGGTGCAGTGGCTCATGCCTGTAAGCCTAACACTTTGGGAGGCCGAGACAGGCAGATCACTTGAGGTCAGGAGTTCGAACCAGCCTGGTCACCATGGTGAAAACCCATCGCTACTAAAAATACAAACAAATTAGCCGAGCGTGGTGGCAGGTGCTTGTAGTCCGAGCTGCTTGGGAGGCTGAGGCATTACTGCTTGAAACCGGGAGGCAGAAGTTGTAGTGAGCTGAGATGAACCAAGCTTCATGGAGCTGTTTCCCCCAGGCCAGGGCTTCAGTGGGATCACAGGGATTGCCGCCCTCTTCTCTCCAGAGGGCTGCAGCTCCTAGGGCTCCTAGAGTATGGGGGCTTCAGGCATTGACCCACTAGGGGTCTTCACTTAGGGTCCGACACTCAGGGGTAGCTCCAAGGCAGTGAGAACTAAACTCCCGGGGAAACTGCTGTCCAGAGCAGGGGCCCAGCCTCCCAAACCAGGTGTCTGATCCGCTCCAGCCTAGCACCACTGTGGCGCTGAGTTCATCTAGGCCTAGCTGGTCAAATCCCTTAGAATCTCAACTGGTCTCACAAGGAAGTCACTGGAAGCCTCTGAACTTCCCATCCTTGCGAGCGCTCTGCTGGCCCCACCTGGCGCCCTTTAAGCCTTTACCTGAGGCGCGCATGGCCACAAGACTGTTCCCAATCTGGCTCCGCCACTTAAGAAGCGTCGGACCTTACATGTCACCTGCCAACCTCCCACATCCTATCCTTGTCTCCAACGCGGCGTTGGGATGGCCAGGAAAGACGAGGAGGCATCTCGCTAGGGTTCTCCCCGCCACTGCGTGAACAGATGCACTTGCCAGGTTGATAGGCGGGTCGGGACCCCAAGAACACCGCACGCAGTGAGTTAGGCAAACAGCTTTATTTGAAAGACGGGAGACAGCCGAGTCCCCCCGACCCCGTGGTCCTGGCGACGTCAGTCTCAGGCGTGGGAGGACCAGTGTCCTGCGGAGAGAAAACAGGGTTAGGGGTCGGCAGCCGGGGTCAGGAGTCAGGGGCCAGACCACGCGAGCGGCCACACCTGGGGGGAGGACGCGGCGCCTGTCGGGGCCTGGGTTTCACCGCCGCACATGGAGCAGCGCGCGGTGAGCTGAGGCCCCCGGAGGCTCTGGGCGTCGAATCTCACCCGCGGCCACGGCCAAAGCCGGGGGTGATTTTCAACCAACGCCGGTCTCCAAGACCACCAGCGGGATACCGGCGGTCAACGCAGCAGGACCTACCTAAGTGAAGAAGGCAGTGCAAAGCATGCGCGGGCGTTTATAGCTGCTTTTTGGGTGACGCAGATTCCCAGGCCGCGGCTGGGGCCGGACGCGCAGGAGCACGCCGAGCCCGGTGAGGGCGGGGCACCGCGGAGCCAATCACAGGTTGTCTTATGGGAGCTCGGCGCGCTCCCGCCCGGGGCGGGGCCGCGGAGGTCTCGCGGCGCTTGGTGTGGTATAAAAGCTGCTTCCCAGTAGGCCTCTCTCTTCTTCTCCAAGAGAACACGTGAGTGGTCTTATTTGCTGCTGCGGGTTTGGGCGTGGGCGGCGGGAATCCGCGGACATCGAGTCGGGTCTAGGCTCCCGAGTCCGCGCTCCTGGGCGGGAGCCCCCGTCGGGGTCTTGCGGGGGGCTGCTAGATGCCTAGACCGCACTGACTGCTTGGTTCTTGTCGTTTTCTCCAGCAAATGGCGGATGACGCCGGTGCAGCGGGGGGGCCCGGAGGCCCTGGTGGCCCTGGGATGGGGAACCGCGGTGGCTTCCGCGGAGGTTTCGGCAGCGGCATCCGGGGCCGGGGTCGCGGCCGTGGACGGGGCCGGGGCCGAGGCCGCGGAGCTCGCGGAGGCAAGGCCGAGGATAAGGAGGTAGGTTTCAGCTACGCGCGGGATCGGGCCCGTAGGCGGCGGCGGAGAGCGGCCCTGGTCACTCGCGCCTTTTCTCCCTCTAGTGGATGCCCGTCACTAAGCTGGGCCGCTTGGTCAAGGACATGAAGATCAAGTCCCTGGAGGAGATCTACCTCTTCTCTTTGCCCATTAAGGTACGCGTCGGTCGTTGGGGCGTTGAACAAGTGCGACCCCGGAGTCGTTTGGGCTGGGGTTGGATGGTTGGCATCTGCCATTGACCCGCCTTGAAGGGCCCAGCGTCTCGTTTGAGAGGTTGAGGCTGTGTTGCGGGCTGGATGAGGAGGGGATTCCACTTAAGAGAGGTTGGATGGATATATCTGAGCGAAGCGAGAGCCACAAAACGCATTTCAGCGCATCTTCCCACGTTCGCAGCGAATTCATTTCCAAAGAGCAGAGACAGAAGCAGCGCTCAGTTCATGGCATCCGAGAGGACGATGAAGTTCAGGTTGTGGGAGGACACCGTAAGGGTTAGCAAACTCATAGTCCGCGTGTACGGGACAGCTGTCATCCGCGTCCAGCGGGTGCAGAGGGGAAAGGCTAATGGCGCGTGTGTCATGTGAGCGTTCGCCCTAGCAAGGTACGGTGTTCATGGCTAGGCCAAAGCTGGACAAAGCAAAAGGAAACCTGAGTGGAAAGCCACATCTCACCAAACGAGGAAAAGGACAAATAGGAAGAAACGATTGAGATGCTGAAACATGCTAATGTTACAAACTTCCATTAAAACTGCTGAAACGTAAACGAAGGGGACAGATGGGGGATGCCAGGTGAGGGGGTTTATGACTATTTTTTTTTTTTGGCGGGGCAGAGTCTCGGCCTGTCAACCAGGCTGGTGCGATCTCGGCTCACTGCAACCTCTGCCTCCCAGGTTCAAGCGATTCTCCTGCCTCAGCCTCCCGCATAGCTGGGTTTACAGGCGCCCGCCACCACACCCGGCTAATTTTTTGTATGTTTAATAGAGATGGGATTTCACCATGTGGGCCAGGCTGGTCTTGAAATCCTGACCTTGTGGTCCGCCCACCTCAGCTTCCCAAAGTGCTGGGATTACAGGTGTGACCCACCGCCCCGCCGATGACTTTGGTTCTTTAGTAGCATAATGGTACTAAGTTTTTCTTCAATGCGCTCCCCACAATTATCTTGTTTGTTGCAGGAATCTGAGATCATTGACTTTTTCTTGGGGGCTTCTCTCAAAGACGAGGTTTTGAAGATTATGCCGGTGCAGAAGCAGACCCGTGCTGGCCAGCGCACCAGGTTCAAGGTACCTGGCTGTCCTGGAGTGGGCTGGGCTTGTCAGGACTCTCTCGGCTCTGCGTAGTTGCACTTGGCTTCACCCGTGTGACTTTCGTAATGGGGAGAGAGAGAAAAGATCTCCTCAGGACCTCGGATGGGCCTTACTGTGGCCTCTCTTTCCTTGAGGGGCACAACAGGCCCTGGGCGGTGGGCAGTGATTGGGTGTAGGGCCACCAGTCGCCTCACACACATCTCTTCACAGGCGTTTGTTGCTATCGGAGACTACAATGGCCACGTCGGCCTGGGTGTTAAGTGCTCCAAGGAGGTGGCCACTGCCATCCGTGGGGCCATCATCCTGGCCAAACTCTCCATTGTCCCGGTGCGCAGAGGCTACTGGGGGAACAAGATCGGCAAGCCCCACACCGTCCCTTGCAAGGTAGGCTGGTGGCAGGTTATGGGCCTGCTGTGGGGCAGGCTCCCTTGGGCCCTTGCCTCCTGACTTCTTCCCTCACCAGGTGACAGGCCGCTGCGGCTCTGTGCTCGTGCGCCTCATCCCTGCACCCAGGGGCACTGGCATCGTCTCAGCGCCTGTGCCCAAGAAGCTGCTCATGATGGCTGGTATTGATGACTGCTACACCTCAGCCCGGGGCTGCACTGCCACCCTGGGCAACTTCGGTAGGTGGTCCACGCATGGGGCGTAGCAATGGTCTCTCAGCTCCGCTTAACCACACGGGTCCGGTGTGTGCTTGGCGTGTTTTCAGGGAGGCAGAGAAAAGCTCTCCTAATGCACGACAGACCCGCCCAGAATGGCCTCTCTGTTCCTAGGAGTGCGACAGTTTTTGGGTTGGGGGACTTGCCTCAAGCACACCACTGACCCTCCTGGGGTTCTTGCCAAGGCCACCTTCGATGCCATCTCTAAGACCTACAGCTACCTGACCCCTGACCTCTGGAAGGAGACTGTGTTTACCAAGTCTCCCTATCAGGAATTCACTGACCACCTTGTCAAGACCCACACCAGAGTCTCTGTGCAGCGGACCCAGGCTCCAGCTGTGGCTACAACATAGGGTTTTTATACAAGAAAAATAAAGTGAATTAAGCCTGTTACTGTGTCCTGTGTCCTGCATGGTTAGTGGTGGTTTGAATCTGCAGATGTGGGGCCAATAGATCACACCAGAAACACAGGCAGGTTGCAGGACTTTATTTCAGCAACAGTCACACAGAGCCACACAGCAGGCGCACCCACAGATGCCTCAGAAGGTGGCAGCGGCGGCCTCTCTTGCAGCTTTTCTCTCTTCCAGCATCCTCTCCTTCTGTTTGGCCAGGCACTTCCTGGCAGAATAGTGGGCACCCAGGTCCTGATCTGAGAAAGCAATAGAAACAAGCTGGGAACCCAGGCCTCTGCTGCATGCAAAGGGGGCAAAGTCAAGTGGGCAGAAGTGAGGGGAGGGAGGAATCGCAATGGTTCTGGCCCCCAGGCCTCAGAAGGATGGGAGGGGGAGGTCACGCACAGCGGTCCTGGTAGGCCTTGGCCACCTGGGTGAACTGCTCCACTTCCTTGCTGCAGTTCTGCTTGTAGTTGTGTCCTTCCCTCTGCTGACAGGCCTTGAGTCGAGCCTGTATAATGTTGACAATTTCTCGGTCGACTTTGCTGGGGGAGAAAGGGAGCAAGAGAGGCTAATCACCAGGAATCCTTTCCCTGTACCCCTCGAGAGAACAATTGAAATCAAGAGCCCTGGGGTCTGGCTCCTCCCATGTCAGCCCTAAGATCTGGGCATGCCACCCTGTGGAATCCCAGGGACTGGTGGCCCAGCTGCACATGCTGCAGATCTCCACACTCCCAGCGTGGCTCACGTACTAGTCCCTTCTCCACTGCATTTCGGCTTCATACATGCACAAGATATCATTCTCCTTGCACTCAGTGATGTCCGGCACACGGCGGTACTGCCGGTGGTAGTAGTAATACCTGTTCTTTGCATGCTGCCGCTCTATAAATTCTGCAAAGACAAAACCACAGACTCACACCTCATTGGTTTGGACAAGCTTTTAGCTTTCTAGTTCTCATAAGCCCCTTGGAGGGGAGGGAGGAGAACTTCCTGAGTGTTCCAGCGTTTAGAAAACAGGCAATTCGGCCGGGCGCGGTGGCTCACGCCTGTAATCCCAGCACTTGGGGAGGCCAAGGCGGGCGGATCGTAAGGTCAAGAGATCGAGACCATCCTAGCTAACACGGTGAAACCCCATCTCTACTAAAAAAAGCAAAAAAATTAGCCGGGCATGGTGGCGGGTGCCTGTAGTCCCAGCTACTCAGAAGGCTGAGGCAGGAGAATGGCGTGAACCCTGGAGGTGGAACTAGCAGTGAGCCGAGATCGTGCCACCGTGCTCCAGCCTGGGTGATAGAGCGAGACTCCATCTCAAAAAAAAGAAAAAAAAAAGAAAACCGGCAATTCGTCTCTCTATGAGGTGTGGCCGGCCAGGCAGGCCTGTGAAGGCCTAGGCTACAGCTGATGGAGAGCTCCA